ATTCTTATTTTCCGTCTTCTTTTCAGTTTAAATTCGATAGTTTAAATTAGTTCTATTTGTAAGTTAGATTAGGGACTTTTAGCTTGGTTTCTGGTTAGGTTATGACAGGTTAGGTTAAATTAGATTAAGGATTGTTAGCTTTAGTTGTCTGGTTAGATTCATCCTAGGTTATGGTAGGTTAGTTTAGTTAGTGAATAAGTTAATGCTTAAATAAAAAAAAGGGGGGGTCTTGCTTGTTTGTCTTCGTCTTCTGTTGGTTTGTTCGTCTCGTCTAGTTTGTCATTGTGTTTGTTTGTTTTTGTACTATCTGTTAATTAGTTTTAAGATTCACAAACGCGATCAGTTTTATTACTATTAAGTAGATATAAATCTTCCAACTAACAGCCACTTGGCATTAACTCCTACATTTAGCTATTTGTGGCAGCATTCAATTATTAGTGTTTGCTACACCCAGGTTTTCTTTTAGACCCTTCAGGGGACTACAGTCTTTCAGCCTAAAAACTGCATGTCAATATCAAAGGGTACTGTAGCCTTATGTATGCTGTTCAGAGGGATCCTACCTTTCTCTGCTGCCCATCTCCTCTCTCTCCTTCTTCCCATCCCTTTTCCCTTACTTTTTTTTCTGCCAGCTAAACACTTCGTGTACGGCTGATGTCTTTCTTGTATGTACTTATGTATGTATGTATAATATTAAATGCTGTATGAAATTTGAGTATAAGAAAAATTAAAAAATTCTATTAAAAATGTCCAGAATTAATGTCAGTACTGCATAATACAGATTCAAGAAGCATAGATTTATGGAAGTCATACAAGACTTTTGTAAAACAGTTTTTTGTTTTTGCTATATTTCTGACAGATCAAAGAAAATCATTTTTGAAAACATTTGGATTCAAGTCTTTCCCAATTCTAATTACCTATTCAACATGTTTGACTTGTTTGAGATGTAGAAACAGACATTACTTCTAAATATTTTCTTTATTAGCTTCATAAACTATCAATAGTAAGAAAAAAGTTGCTTAGTGAATTCACTCAGTGGAAAAGAATCATGTTTACCAGAGTGAAACAGTAAAGAGAGTAATCTCAGAGATAATTTTCTTCTGGATTACTTAATTAATACTAGTATAATGAATCAAGATGATTTAATTATATTCAAGAGGAAGGAAATTCTTGACTTAACTGTAATTTCTATTGTTTGATATTATGGAATGACTTTGATGATGATTCTTTTTCAGATCACAGATATTCAACTTTAACCAAGAGTAAAAAAAGTGGATCTGTTTTGCTATCCTGGGAATTCATATCAGTCACTTTATAATAATGTCTATCTGACAATTTAAGTAATATGTCTTGTTGATAAAGCCTTATAAATATACTGTCCTATACTATTTATTATCCTCACCAGGTTTATAAGCTAAAAACTTTATAGTTTTTTACTTGAAATTATTTTAATTACCTAAGTTTACTGATAAATAAAATGAACTTTATAAAATTATCCTAATCTAATACAAAAAGACTATGGGATAAGGCAAGCAATCTCTGAAGAAATTTTTGTTCAACATATCTGATATACAGAGTTACGTAGGCTCATGAAATGCTTATGGTAAGAACCTGTGCTTGTGCTCTTGGCCAGAATTCCTTGGTTCATTTATTTTGCCTTGACTTAGTTTTGTACTCTCTCTAATACTTAGCCATGATACAATCCTTACATTCCAAAATTTCTGATTGCAATGACACTGTTGTTTCCTAGTAACATATCAATAATTTTAGACATGAGATTTTCAAATCTTAAATTAATTAGTAATTTTTTACTAAAATCAAATTAGCTTTGATTCTTAGAAGTAGTTGAACTTGATATAATTTTAACTCATTTGTAATTTGGAATTGAAACTTTGGCTGCAATTTAAACTGCATTTATCATTCCTGTTTATGTTCTCTATATTTGGAAAATGATTATTATGACTCTTCCAAAGCTAGGTGGAGAATCACATTCTACAATTAAAGACCTTTCATTCTATTCGTTTTATGTCTTCTAAGCCAAGAAACTGTTGATAAGCATCAAAATAATGTTTTTGCTTGAGGAAATTTTTCCTCCATCATCTCTGATTTGTTTCTCAATCTAACAAACCTTGCGAGTTGTCTTGCAAAATTTGGTTTTCCAAACTGAAAAAGAATTCAATGCCAAGAAATTTTACTGCTTTTCTGAACTAAGAAGACAGTTTTGATAGGACATTTTTTCAGTCCACTGTTAATTTAGTGATTTATTGGATTTATTTCATGTTCTGTAATTGGAATGTAGTTGTCTTGGACTCTCCTTGAGAAGTTTTGAGTGTGTATGAAGGAAGATTTTCTTTCCATCTTGTTTATTCTATGCTGGATAAGCTTGAGGACTTTCAATGTATCTGGTCTTTACACTGAAAATTTTACAAAACATTATCCTTCTTTTGACAGCAAGTTCCTAATAATCTATCTAACCTAAGATCTGAATGGAAATATTTAGAATTGCAATGCCATAATTAAGGACCTACCTAAGTTGTGATTCACAGTTCAACAGAATTTTCAGAAAGTACAAAATTTCAAAGTATGAATTTTACCATTTTACACAAAATAGTGCAATTTTTAAAATTATCATACTTTTGATTGAATTTTTACTTACAAAATATATATTAGATTTTTTTGAATTGATGTATATTTACATTATAGATGTATAATACAACACTGTGTGCTATAAAGCAATCAATCATATTTGATTGAAACTATAGAAAAATAGACAATTTAAATGTTTCTTTAAAAATTATATATAAAACTGAAAAAATTTTCATTACCAGGGAAGAATGAGAAATATTTTGCATTCCATTCAAAAGTTTAACCTTATTATCATTGCTTTGGAAGTAAACTATCTGTTCTACTTACACACAAATGTAGGTTAGTGAAAGAATGGATGGGCCTTGAAATTTGTTTTTGTTTTTGACTGTTATGATGACCAGTAAGGGATCAGATAAGAAGGAAAGGGAGGTTGGGTTCTGTGTTGAGCAAAATAAAGTTACATTTTCTAATCTTGTAAGGAACCAAGTCCAAGCATTATTTTTATTTACTTTTATATTTGCTTTTATTCTATTTTCGTTTGGGGTTTATGTTTTGTTAGGACAAAGGTTTCTTCATCATTCACCTCAGAAACTTAAAAATAGAAGAGAAACCAACTCATCGACGAGAGAAAAGCGCCGTAGTTAAAAATCGCGCACACTTGCACTCCTGAGTGGAGAAAAGTAAGTCCGCACTGAGAAAAGGGGGGAAACCCCACAAGCACAACTTAGGAAATTTGCTAAACCTTAAAAGAATAAAACATCCCGAAAATTGTCAAAAAGAATAATGTAAAAGGTTAGCGAGTATTGTCAGAAAGTAAACTGCCAGACAAACAGAAAGTTTATTGTTAGCCAATAAGTATGTAAATGAGGGGAGTGATCTCACTTAGAATTGTGATGTCACCTCACAGTATAAAGTCCCAACCTCAAGTGAAGATAAGCGAGGTGAGCTTCTGTTAGAAACGAGCATGGTGAGCTTCATAGCAGTAAACGAGAGAGAGGTGTGCAATAGGATAAAGTAGTTCCAAGGCAATTTTGAAGTTATTCGATTTGTGGATCGAAGATTAGAGAAAGTCTTGAGAGTTGGGAAAAAGGTTCCTAGTATATTGAGGTGACGATTAGGATCTTTAATTCATAAGAATTATTGTACATAAGTTAAGTCTTTGAATTTTTGTCGAGTTCCAAAGGGGAATAGATTTTAAGTTAGAAAATAGATTGATTTGAGTTTTGTCAGGTTGATTCTTATTGATTTTCATTGAACAAATTGTTATTTGATTTTTACTAAATTTTGTATATAGTTATTACTAGAAATTTTATTAAATATTGGATTGTTTTTGACAAAGTTTGTCATTATTTAATTCGGTGCACGCTTAAAGTCCAGGCCTGGCACACTAACGCAAATCCGTGTAAAGTACCATTAGGTAATGGCTATTTCCGGCACACAGTCATGTCGATAATCGTTGGAAAAGTCGGAAAAATAATATAGTACTTTACAATCTGTTTGGAGTGTCTTTTTGAGAGTAATCATATGCACTTTTTCAGTGTTTTTCCAATGCCAAAGTGTTATTACATTTCTTACATTGTCCATTTCAGACTGTACTGCAATGACCATAAGAAAGTTGCAGTTTCAGCATTCTCTTCAGAATTTTTTTGATAGATAGTCAATGAAAACTATCAACCTTCTCATATAAATAACCTTCTTCTATCTTGGTTGAGATTATTGACAACAGCTTTGATATCAATGTTTGAAATCAGTGGTCCTGTTATTGGGTTTCAATTTGAAATAATTCCAGACTTATAAATTCCCACTGTCATCTGTTGTCTGTCCTTCCTTAATCTTGAGAACAAAGTTAGATAGATGAAAGTCGAGACCAAATGTGAAAAACTTAAAAGCAGGAGGCCCAGATTAACTATATATGAACTTTCAGTTTGCACCAGAAGTCATGTTATTTCAGTTCAAAAATTTTTCTGAATGGAGTTAGATCAATGATTGGCATGACTATTGTTTGATAAACAGGAATATTATGATGTACAGGGCAAGATACTACTAAAACAGTGAATATATTGTGATGAAAAATTGCAGCCTGGCATTGTGACAATGTCACAATAAATAATTACTCATTTTGGAATTGTTATTATTTTGGCAACTTTCTTGTTTTCTAAAAATCAAAGTAAACAAGCAATTATTTATTGTGAAATTATAGTGTCTTGCCTGTCATGACAATCATCTATGTAACTCCATTCAGGAGAAAATTTTTAAATTGAAATAATATGACTTCCAGTCTATAATGGAAGTTTGTATATAGTTAATCAAGGCCTCCTGTCTCCAAACTTTCCATATCTGGTCTTGACTTCCATCTATCTAACATCATTCTTGAGATTAAGGAAGGACAGACAAACAACAGTGGGAATTTATAGATCTACAATTTTTTCAATCTGCAGATCAATTAGCCTGATTTACCTTCTTTTTTTTGTTGTTTGTTTATGGATTTTTATTAATTTTTAATAAAAAAATTTTCATACATTGGTGTGAATACATTTTTCTTAAAACTTGATGTATAAATAGAACAACATTATAATATTTTTATGTTTTTTAAAAAACACTTTTGCTTATTTTATTTGATGTTTCATTAGTTAACAATATTCAAATAGAATAATTAGTACAACTTTGTAAAACATTCTAGAAACTTAAAACACAAATTTAAAAGTTACATTCCAAAAGAAAAATTATACATCACTATAGCAGAATTCCACATATTTACTATTATTATTTTTCTAATGTATTTACTTTAGACAGGTGAAAATATTTTTCAGATATTCACAGAGACATGTTAAAGTAATTTTAAATACATTCACCTAGAGATATAAATTGACCTGTTGCAAAGACATAATTTGTTAAATTTTGAACATATGTTAAAAATTAGGATCAAATTACACTTAAGAAATATGTAAATGTTGTTAAAATACAAAAAGTTGTACCTTTTGTACTGTACACATATATACTTATTCTGAAATTTATCAGCAGGGAACTAGAAAAACCATTCAGGCAAAAAGTAAAAAGGACTTAGGGAGAACACTAAATTGATTAAAGTTCAGTGCAAAAAAAATATGTTTGTAATGCAAAATTTTTTAAAAATTTTATAATTTAGAGCACAAAAAAAGTAGGCCCTTAGATGTAATGAATTATACATCACTTGTAATAAAAATGTGACTGTTGGTTTTAGTTGCAGAAGACTAAAGAATTTTTGTTGAATTCTATCTCCACCACAAAGAGTGCAATTTTTTGTCAAATACTATATCTCTATCTTGTAATACTTGATTCTGGTCAGTTTTGGATCAGGCAGCTAATGGTGAGTTTTAACAAAATATATCATCTGATTACACTGATTATACAGAAATATTTTTGCCAAAAGTTGAGTTGACAAAAATTTAAATTTAAATTTATTTATTTATAACAAAAAACATTTTAGACAAAAAATATTCCTTTATTAAAATGCAATCAAAATCTCTAAGAAATGTAAAATAATATATTTTACATTTTTTTACTTTTTATTCAAGGCAGAACAATTAAATTCACTGAGCCATATTATTTTTAGACTGTGATACAACTTTTTTAGTCAAAATATACTTATGATGTTGAATTTAATGTATCAATGGAGTTATATATATTATTTTCTATCTACATTTACAAGTATATATGTATAATAAGTTACATAAATATATACACATGGACAGGTAAAGGAATGTTTTTTGATTCTATCAAAGACTTACTAAATGCTAACAGAATTTATAGAAGTCAAAAATTAGTTATTAATTTTTAAAACAAGAGTATTTCTCCATTTTTCATACAAATTATCAGTTAAAGAATCAATAACAATTAAGTTATAGAATATTTTTTAAACAACAGTTTATAAAAAACAAACATAATTACTGAAAATATATTATAGACTAAATCATTTTTTACTTATATANAGCAGGTGTTTTAGTGCTAGTATAAAATTTCTTATTGTTTCGAAAGATTTTGTTGCAAGTATCTTATTCCGAGTAATTTATTGTAAATAATTTATAATTAGATATAAATGTTTATCCGTATATTGTTTTGTTAGAAATTTGTAATGAGTTATTGGGATTAAATATATATTTTGTTCTGAAATAAACAACAAAAGAACGTTGTATAGATAGATACATATATTGTATTAAGTTTGAATGTTAAAAATCAACAGACACATTCTCGAGAATCTCGAAATGTCAAAAAATATCTTGATACTCAAAATACAAAAATATTGCAATAAAAAAATTCTCTAATCTTCAGAATCAAAAACTGTCCAGAATTCTCAAATACCATCTTAGATTTTTTTATTTTTTCATTTAAAGAAGAGACAGGATAGAACAAAAAGAAATACACTAGAGAAATTTCACAAAAAATCGTTGTATAGAATTTTCTTGTTTTTCTCATAAACTTGACATTTTATTTAAATATTTTAAAACTTAAATCCTCATGAGAGAAAACAGAATATATTCTGAATAAAATGCAAATTTTGTTACATTTAAAATATAAACGTGGCAAAAATTTGCAGTCTGAAATTTACAAAATCATATAAAAAAAAATGATATAATGCAACATTTGAAGACACTTCTACATATTATTTTTAAAAAATATCAAAATCTTACCTTGTCTAATTTATCCAGATCACTACGAAGCTGTTCTTGTAACTGTTTTAATTTAGTTAATGGTAATGTTTCTAATTCAGATATCCTAGCTAATGAGTGAAGAAAAGGTTCTCCAGATATTGTTTCCACTTCACTTTGTAAAGCATTTAATTTGCTAATTGCCTGTAATTTAAAAAAAACCATATTTAGATATTTCCTTTTTCATGTGCAAAAGCATTACAGAAGTTATATATATATATTATATAGTTGAACTTCTATACTATGAAATCCTATACAGTGGGTGATGAGTGGGGGTGAAATCCTATACAGTCAGTTAACGAACATAATCTGTTCCAAGACTTTGTTCGCTATTCTAATTGTTCGTTAACCGATTATTGATTTACCATAGGTTTTTATGGGAATTTGATTAATTTGTTCTGGAGACCCCAAAAAATAAAAAAATATATACTTTCTTACTCCATTTATTTATATATAATAATAAAAATACATATATACACAGTCTTGCATTTTTATTAGTCATGTTTTTTCCGTTTGTGGGGTTCTGTCTAATGTTGATTGCTTTTCTCTCTTTTTCAGGATGTTTCAAAAGTAATTAATAACATTGTAATTGTAGAGATCCCTAAGCCTATTAACCTCAACCTGGTTTGGATGCCATTTTAAGGTTGTCATTCTGATATCCTCTCACTTCTTCAAAAGATCTTTAATAGCAGATATCAGCATTAATCCTCTTTTTCAAACGAAAACATATGTTGTCAAATTTTTTGGTTTTCTTCATTCAAGAGTTCTTGGCATTCTTTTGTCATCAGATCTGTTTCAGGTTCCATTATGAGCTCTTCAATGTTCTTTATTTCTCAGATGTGATTTTTGTTACTCCTTAAGCTGCTTGAGTCTTCTTGATTATACTGTATCTTTCTTAGATAAGATTGAACTGCAGCCTACTGTAGATCTGTTTGAGCCATACTGCTTAGCAACATCAGACATCTGCCCACTCTCTACCTTTGCTATTATACTCTCACCTTTCGAAAATAAAAACCGATGCAAAACTTAACGAGTGCCCACTCGACAGTCTCGGGAATACTATAAAAGAATTGTTTCTGTCAGAAAAATAAAAAACTGGAATCACAAGGGAGAGTTCAAAGTTTGGAGGAATAGTATCTGATCAGTATATACCGGGTTGAGCATCAATGTCAACGTCTCCCGCACTCCAAAAAGNTAGATATAACCATACTGGTTATTTATGTCACTGAGTAAGAGACAACTCAGCATCCATGGCCTATAATCTCCCATTACAGTTCTCAGCTGGCTATTACTTTACTAGGGCATGGTGTATACGTACATAATACATAAACATCTGTAAGCCTGATAGTTATATTAAAGCTAAACAATTGCTGGATTAGATACTTCTATATATACATCATGTTGGGGTAAAGCAATAGCCAACTGAGTGCCATAATAGAAAATTATAGGCTGTGAGCTCTGAGTTGTTTCTAATTAATGCCATGAATACCAGTATGGTTATATCCAAATTAATTAATTATTCTGGAAGCAAATATCAGATGGAGATTCAGGTAGTGTAACTGACAACGTATCTGCATGGTAAGCAGCAGTTGCAGGTTTGAGTCCTGCTCTGGACTAATTCTTTTGTAAACATATCAATTTTGGATCTTATTAAAGTCTATTGTTTATAATTATGACAGTAATAATTGTAACAATTCCTCTCCTCATGTTGATCGAAATATAGTAATAAATAAACAGCTGAAAACTTTTTGAAAATTAACTGCTAAAATATGTACTATAATTTTCTATATAACCCACACTGATATATCTAAATATATAAAATTGCTTGTCCTGACTGACTGACTGATTCATCGTCGCCCAGAGCAAACCGCTGAACCCAAAGAGGTGAAATTTGGTACACAGTTAGGGTACGTCATGAGAACGCACACTAAGAAGAGATTTTTCAAAATTCCCCCGAGGGGGTGAGAGGGAAAGGATTAAGTCTTAACTGGAAGAACAGCTTCTACTGTACTATTTTAGATGCGATTTTTTGTTTTTATCTTCGTTTTAGTCTTCATTGAGTACTTAGGTGTATTAAATTGATAACATTTCAGACATTGTTATATTTTTTATCTATTTCGATTTTTAAAATGTTCAAACTGTTTTAAATTTGAATTTGTTATTGCATATTGGTTCGATTTATAGAATGATTGTAAACGTTCCAGAAAATTGAACAAATTGAAAACAGTTAGTTTGATTTTCGGCAATTCTCATTATTTTCAGCGGTAGGTGTTATATAACAATTACTATGATTGTTGAAATACTGAATATAATGGGGTTTGCTTGCAAAACCACCACGGGCGAAGTCGTGGGTAACAGCTAGTATATATATAAGGATGAAAGAACATGAATACTCCATAAGAAAAAAGCTGACCACAACAGCATTAGCAACATATGCAAATAATGAGGATGTTCACGTTGAACTACAGAAAGCTAAATTACTACACAGAGTATCGGATAAGGCACAACTCAAGTACCTCGAATTGCTGGAGATCTATTGGGCAATTAAACAAGGGATCAGTATTAACTTCAAGGAAACGAACATGCTTTCCACAGCATGGCGTGCCATTTTTGAACTAGATCCCAATGATTGAAACGCGCATCAAAGATAGTTTAAGTTACGTAGGATATGTATGTCATAATCTACGTGAAATTAATTGATTTATTCGGATGTGTTTCACATATTTTACATATTTTAAATTTTAATGCAGCATATTCAAATTACGTAGTTAATTAATCGGAACTTTTTAAAACGTTCTATTCTACTAGCCATTAGTTTGATATTGTCAATACTTGAGGATGTATATTACATATACAGTAGAGCGTCGGTTAACCTAAACCATTCCAGTTGGCAAATTTAAATTTTTGCTAGTGCTGTGGCGCTGCAATCTTTGGCTATATCTTGGGCTACTCCGATATTTTTCTTGTTGGTGTGTGTGTTTTAGCAGCCAGCACTGGCACTTTTTTCTGAGGACTGTGTGTCATGCTGAATCGAACATTTTTGATATTAGATTAACTTCTAAAGTATAATATTTTTTTTGTTTTTATATTTTTCAATATATTTATTTTGTTTGTAAAAAATAAAGAAATAATTTTTAATGATATAATAGCCGCAATTATTATTTTAAAAAGTTTACATTAGGCTTTATATCGACAAAAATTCAACACGAAGCGACATGCAACAGATAAAAATTTCAACACGGGATAAGTTAATATATTTTTTCGTACATAATCGGTTATCCAAACAACCTCAGTCCCCAACTGATTCAGATAAACGATGCTCTACTGTAGATAAAAACGTTCATAGCACGAATTTTCTGTTTGGTTATGAACAGGTAATAGTTTATTTGGTAAGTGGTATATAAACCCAGTTTTTTGAAATATAATTGTTAATTTGATTATCTAATAGTAAAAAAAAAATTCTGATGCGTAAAAATAGTAATAATAATAAGGTAGTAAAAATTGCCTTTTAAATTATTAAAATAAATCTGTTAAAAAAGGCTTGGAAACTTACTTCATCTCTTTGTTGCTCAGCTAACCTTTCTCTTCGATTTGCTTCATCTGCTTCTCGTTTCCATGCTTCACAAGCCTGGTAATATAGGTTAAGATTAGCAGCAATTATTTTATTAAAATTATATTACTGAATCAAACCTGAAAAAAATTTGAAATAATTATTGTTATTATATCTTTGAGCTAATGGTAGTTTATTCAAAAAAGTTTTCAACTAGTGATTTTTTAGTTAATACAGTTTACTAATTTATCTACTAACTGACAATTATAATCAAAGCCAAACAATTACCACATTAGATTGGGCTATATTACTGATACTAGTAATAATTAAATGCTAAGTAATTTAGTCTAGAAATAGGCATTAGATGCCATCTCTCATTAAATTAAATATTAATTTAATTATAAATATTAATTAATTAATTTAGAAGGCTCTGGAAATTCGGCCCAGATCAAGATTCAAACCTGCAACTGTCACTTATGATGTAAATGCATTGCTAATTACGCTACCCTGACCTCAGTCTGATCTTTGTTATAGAATAATTGATTTAGATATAACCATACTGGTTATTTATGTCACTGAGTAAGAGACAACTCAGCATCCATGGCCTATAATCTCCCATTACAGTTCTCAGCTGGCTATTACTTTACTAGGGCATGGTGTATACGTACATAATACATAAACATCTGTAAGCCTGATAGTTATATTAAAGCTAAACAATTGCTGGATTAGATACTTCTATATATACATCATGTTGGGGTAAAGCAATAGCCAACTGAGTGCCATAATAGAAAATTATAGGCTGTGAGCTCTGAGTTGTTTCTAATTAATGCCATGAATACCAGTATGGTTATATCCAAATTAATTAATTATTCTGGAAGCAAATATCAGATGGAGATTCAGGTAGTGTAACTGACAACGTATCTGCATGGTAAGCAGCAGTTGCAGGTTTGAGTCCTGCTCTGGACTAATTCTTTTCTTTCAGAGCCTTCTAAATAAATAAATATTAATTTAATTATAATTATTAAATTTAATAAGAAATGGCACATAATGCCTACCATTAGACTAAATTACTTAGCATTTAATTATTAGTAGTAGCAGTAATATACCCAATCTAACCTGGCAATCATTTGGCTTTAATATAACTATCAGACCTATGGATGTTCATATTTGACAATTTTATAATCTTTGGTTAAAACCTGATACTTCTACATTTTTTAAAAGTTAAAACAATATTAATAATACATTGAAAAAAATGTGTTTATTACAATTTACTTATTTATAAAATACAAGTACAATTTATAAACAGATATTTTATATTAAAAGCTAGATAAATATGGATGTCACATTCAGTCATTATGAAATCCAGCAGTAAAAACTATTCAGGAATTGAAATAAATCATTTGAATCTTTTTACCAAGATATAGTTTTGGCATTAAAAGTTGGGAAAAACTTTAATAATAAATAGCTTTTTTAATACAGATATTTATCAATTAATTGACAAAACATACAAAATAAATAAATTTATATATGCTTCCCTGTCAAGCTTTATCGTAACAAATCAATGGAAAGACTGTTATTTCATTTAATTAATTACAGTAGAAGTTGACTAATGCAGCACCTAACAAGACCAGAGTGGTGGCAAATTATGGAAATGCGAAATTACTAAACTTTTTGTATTTTCACAAAATTTTATGTTACATGCAATCTGAACATTGCAGACATTACATTTTGTATCAGCTGTAATATTTTGATTTGTTTACACATGCTCTTTAATCAGTATGAAGATGATACAGTGCATGATTATACTGTATTAATTTTTAATGAACACATTAATGCACAAAAATCAACATTCACAATGATTCACATGCATATATTGTAATATTTATTTTCCAGAAGTACACTGTATGAAGTACATACAATTCATTTTTCTTAAATCACATTTCTCTTGATTTCACAGTCTTCTTCCTAGACATAGCAATGTGAACAGTCACACTCCTCTCTTTGTGACAATTTCTATTTAGGATTGTTAGTCTATGATGTATCCAAATAAGTTCCAAGATGCAAAATACTAGCATGCCATATTATTATTGGACAATTCTAAATTATTGCATTATTGTCTACTTTACAAATGTTGTCTAATTATCAAGTATTCTGGATTATCAGATGCCAAATTAACGAACTTCTACTGTAATTAAAAAATATAATTAAAGTGTGTTTCAAATTTATATGAACACCAAAAAATTAAAGTGAAACCCAAATTTGCTGCATTAAGTGACAAATGTTTTATTAAAAATATGGATTTACATGTTTCCACACTGCAAAACAAGAATTTTAATCAAACATTAACATTTTGTCACTGAAAATAATATTTTTGAAAATTTTGTACAAAAAAACTGTTACATATTTATCTGGACAGGCACTCATTTCATGACTTAAATAGAATATTGTTTAGTTTCAAGCATTGAAATATGCAAATTAGCTTATATATCTAATTGTAATACAAATTCTTTATGTTGTTCAACGTTCTAAAATGGGTAGAATAAAGAATTTACCTGATTATGAAAAACGGCCGATTGATGCCTATAAATCACAAGGCAAGTCAATAAGAGAAATTGCAGCATATATAAATCGTCCAAAATCAACTGTTGGTGATTATTTATCAAAAAGACGTGGCAAGGATGTACCAAAATTCAAGACAGGTCCAAAACCCAAGCTTACTCCTCGAGATTGTAGACAAATCATCAAGGTTTGCTCCACAAAACAAANTTAATCGATTCTAGACTAATTCGACTCAACATTTCCAAAATACGTATATATTTTTTGGAAATAATCCGTATAAACTACGCTATAAACAAAAAATTGTAGGATTACTTACCGAGTGTGCACTGTTCAACGTCGCCATTGCTTAAGCTTGTTTTCGTCACGGAGCAGCACACCAAATGGTGGCCGCGATATCTGATAACAAATTTTTCACAGAAAAATAACTTGACCTTTGGAGACATCATTAATATAAATAATTTTTATGGCCGTTGAATAAGAAATGTTTCTTTCACAAGAAATGTATAAAAGTACAGTACTGTATTAGACTTACGGTATCTAATTTACACACTGTACAGACGATAGCTCGCCTGAACTCTCCGTAGCGTGGTGCTAGATGGTGGAAAATATATACATAATTATAATAAAGTTACAATAAATTAAGTTAATATATAATTATATATACAGTACCTAATTTATATATCATCATATGTACAGACGATACTAAACTCAATATATCTGCCTAAACTGTCCGTAGCATGGCGCTGGATGGCGGAAAATAGTTCGGCTGCCCGATGACGTTTTACGTAATTATAGGAGTTTTTTTACCGTTGTTACGGATACCGCCACAATTTTTTCGCCATCTTATAGGAATCGTAATTATAGGAACCCGTCTTATAGGCTGATCTACTGTAATTAATTATAGTGGTATATCGGTATTCAACCGAACAATGACTACCCGCTAGAACAAATTTTTGGTTAATAACAAATATTTTTATTTTAACTTTAATTTTGTCATCAGTAAAAAGTTTTCTATGATAAAAATGAATAACTAATTTAAAAATAAAATGAAACGTTAGAGCTACCTACCTTCATCAGACAAAATTATACTAGGTACAGTTCATTTTTTTTCACTTAATGCATGTGGACACACAATCATCATAATGTTTTAGAACCATTTCAAGTGTATGAAGTGTTTCAACAAAACATATCTGTGACACACTAAGATTTGTTGCAATTTCATGAGTTGTTATTTGTGTATTTTGAACAATTCAACCTGCACTTTTTCATCATTGACAGTTTTTGGGTACCTCATATGTTTTGTATCCTTTAGTTCAAAATTTCTCTAACAAAACTTTCAAAACCATATTTAATGCATTCAAAGTTTAGGAGCATCTATCCCATACACACTATGAGTATTTTTTACTGTTTGTATAGCATTGTATACTTTATGAAATTTAAAAAGCATAATATGCATTTTATCTGCAGACATTTCAGTTGGATTTTATTCAAACAAAATGTGATGTAAAAAGTTTAAAATGAGCTTGTAAACAAAGAATACAATCTCACATTAGCAGTAATGTTTGTTGACTATGTTAGTCACATAATTATTAAATCACACATTTATGTTAAGGAAAGACAGCTGTTAAAAATATGCAAAAAAAGCTTTCCATTGAGCATGGAAGAGGATACCGAATTTTCTGTTATACAGCCTGATTTTCCTTTCCATTTCTGCTTTGGACAGATTCTGCTGTTTACAGGTTAATTTACACTGATTTTTGCAGGAAATTCAAGGGACCGAAGAAATCTTTTAATGACAGGTTTTTGTCATATACAGGTTCCATTAATAGACAGGTTTGACTTTATTTAAAATTTCAAAAATATATATATATAATATATATATATATATATATATATTATATATATATATTTTTGAAATTTTAAATAAAGTCAAACCTGTCTATTAATGGAACCTGTATATGACAAAAACCTGTCATTAAAAGATTTCTTCGGTCCCTTGAATTTCCTGCAAAAATCAGTGTAAATTAACCTGTAAACAGCAGAATCTGTCCAAAGCAGAAATGGAAAGGAAAATCAGGCTGTATAACAGAAAATTCGGTATCCTCTTCCATGCTCAATGGAAAGCTTTTTTTGCATATTTTTAACAGCTGTCTTTCCTTAACATAAATGTGTGATTTAATAATTATGTGACTAACATAGTCAACAAACATTACTGCTAATGTGAGATTGTATTCTTTGTTTACAAGCTCATTTTAAACTTTTTACATCACATTTTGTTTGAATAAAATCCAACTGAAATGTCTGCAGATAAAATGCATATTATGCTTTTTAAATTTCATAAAGTATACAATGCTATACAAACAGTAAAAAATACTCATAGTGTGTATGGGATAGATGCTCCTAAACTTTGAATGCATTAAATATGGTTTTGAAAGTTTTGTTAGAGAAATTTTGAACTAAAGGATACAAAACATATGAGGTACCCAAAAACTGTCAATGATGAAAAAGTGCAGGTTGAATTGTTCAAAATACACAAATAACAACTCATGAAATTGCAACAAATCTTAGTGTGTCACAGATATGTTTTGTTGAAACACTTCATACACTTGAAATGGTTCTAAAACATTATGATGATTGTGTGTCCACATGCATTAAGTGAAAAAAAATGAACTGTACCTAGTATAATTTTGTCTGATGAAGGTAGGTAGCTCTAACGTTTCATTTTATTTTTAAATTAGTTATTCATTTTTATCATAGAAAACTTTTTACTGATGACAAAATTAAAGTTAAAATAAAAATATTTGTTATTAACCAAAAATTTGTTCTAGCGGGTAGTCATTGTTCGGTTGAATACCGATATACCACTATAATTAATTACAGTAGATCAGCCTATAAGACGGGTTCCTATAATTACGATTCCTATAAGATGGCGAAAAAATTGTGGCGGTATCCGTAACAACGGTAAAAAAACTCCTATAATTACGTAAAACGTCATCGGGCAGCCGAACTATTTTCCGCCATCCAGCGCCATGCTACGGACAGTTTAGGCAGATATATTGAGTTTAGTATCGTCTGTACATATGATGATATATAAATTAGGTACTGTATATATAATTATATATTAACTTAATTTATTGTAACTTTATTATAATTATATATATACTTTCCACCATCTAGCACCACGCTACGGAGAGTTCAGGCGAGCTATCGTCTGTACAGTGTGTAAATTAGATACCGTAAGTCTAATACAGTACTGTACTTTTATACATTTCTTGTGAAAGAAACATTTCTTATTCAACGGCCATAAAAATTATTTATATTAATGATGTCTCCAAAGTTCAGCGAAGTTTTCGCAGAAAAATAACATCAGAAATCGCGGCCGCGGTTTGCTGAGTTGTTCCGCGACGAAAACAAGCTTGAGCAATGGCGATTTCGAATGGTGCACACTCGGTAATTAATCCTACAATTTTTTGTTTATAGCGTAGTTTATACGGATTATTTCC